CCTTTCCAGGCGGACCTTGTTTCACACCATTGTGTCAACTTCCACAGCAGAGGTCCGGGATACTTGGCCAGTGGGTGGAAGTATAGTCGATAGATGGCAAGACCAATAAACTGTAACAGCGTTAGATGTGATTAGACAGCAGTGAGAAAACAAGAACGTTATTAGACAGGGAGGACTCACATAGACGACATTTGCTGCCGCGAGCACCGATAGCAAGTCTATCACTGAGAAGACGGCCATGGCTCTGTCTTTTCCCTTGTAGTATTACCCAGAAACGATCGCTATGGTGAGAAAATATAGGGGTGAAACTCGAAGCGCTACGGTAAGACCTTCAACGGACCGCGCGGAAATGAGTGATCTGTCGTGCTTCTTATACCATTTCGCACACCATCATGCTACTCCTCCAGGTACCTGTCTACCTGAATCACCCACGGGATGGGAGGAGGGATTTTGCCATGTTCGGCTGACTGTCAGACTCCTTGGCTCAAGAGCGCTTCGGTCAATCATGAAGCGGCCGGGAGACTTGAATGAGAGAAAAAGGGAGCCGAATCCGAAAAGCCAAGGTGGAGATAGAGAGGTTGTAGTAATCCTTCACCGTGTATACCCTGTGAGCAACCAGCTTGCTAGGCCTGGGTGATGTAACACTTCTCGAAATAGAGCTACTGGACATTACTCGCACTCGACTTTACCCCAGCAGATAGAGATGCAACCCAGGGGTTCCCGTCTGAACTCGGATCTCCACTGATGAGAAACCCACATTTTCCCAGGAGGGATTTTGTTATGTCGTCCGAAGCATTACTCGTATAAGTTGTGCTGCTGATCGGCTGGGCGTGTTACAGGGGACAGGGTGGTTTGCGAAAGGGTTGAATGGTGTCCCACGCAAGATCCAGGCCACCACAAACAGACACACTGTACGTGTGGTGAGCAAAGCCGTTGTTCATCGCGTCGGATGTGGCGCGGCCTTGTATCAGCGTATCCAAAAGAGGCAAAGATTACAGCGCCATGACTGGCACTGCGCTCGCTTGGTAGATTTGGTTATAGTTTTTTTGCGGGCAGACCCAGGGGTGGTGACTTCAACATCAGCATTTAGTCACTAGCGGATGCCAGCGAAGAGACGAGATATCATGGTTGCAATGAAGGAAGGGGGGAAACGTGGATCCTAGAGACCCTCTACCTGATATAGTCATCCATGCTAGAATGGAGACATTTGCGCGAGTACCGGGTCCTTTTGTGCAGCTGCAGCCAGGCCGGTGCCGATGCTTGCACGGCTTCATCATCCGACCAAGATGTGATGAGAGCGGAGCGTCCATGTTGTGTCATCCTCCACCTTCCCACTTAAGGGGACGAGAATACGGACCCGCGGCGGGTGGGGGCCAGGGGGGACGCTATTGGACTTATTTGGGAAGGTTCCGTCGATTTAAGAAGTTGGTTGAGTGATATGAATGGGCTCTGTGAGATCATCATACGCCTGTCAAGCGCAGGAAGGGTGAGTATGTAAGAGGCTTGATTCCGCTACACTCTGCCAAGGGGTGTCAGCAAGTCTTGCACGAGCAGGAAACGGTCAAGCGGCCGGGGAAAGATGCCCAGTGAAACAATTTGCCGAGCCGCGAAGGAGGATGCAACAGCAATTTTCTGCGGGGCTATGAAGAAATTGCTGGGCGTATACGGAGAAGTTATTCATGATATCCGTTGAGTGAGCTGATGGTCCGTGATGGAAACAAATTGTGATGGACGATAGTGGATGGTGGATGGTGGATGGCTGAGGGGTGGCGATCAGAGCCTCGTGGCCATAACCACACCACCGTCATCGTTGACTCGGATGAGGCATTACATGTTTCGGCCATAGTGTTATCACCAGTATTCAAACCGAGATGACGGGGATATTGGATCTCATTGTACGAGATTCTCGTGTCTGGGCGTGGCTTCGAGACGTAACACGCATAGCAACGATTGTGATTCGTCGGGAATTTATCCAGGCAAGGGCAGCATGTCAGCAATGATGCTGACCCGGAATAAGCGAGCGGGAAACAAGTTGACCTATCAAGGTGAAGAGGACCTGGGCTTCATTGAGAGACGAAGAGGGTGACAGGGATGATATGGGTGTCTAGGTAGGGCATCTTGAAAAGGCAATAATGACAAGAGACAGGAAACAGGAAAGAAGACAGTGGTGAAGGAAAGAAAAGCACAGCCTCGTGAGCCTTGGCGAGACTGACGAGGCTGGAGAATCGAGCTTGTTATTGGTCAATCAGAATCATCAACCACGAAAAGGAAGGAACAGAATAAGACCTTCTCTTTGTAGAAATATTCTAGAAATAAAAACGAACCGAATTTGAAATCGTTTAATTGGTGGGCTGATTTTCCCCCTCCATGTCCCTCTACCAGGTGGCTCGGTGGGTGCCAGGTACGCCACTCTGTCTCTCCTCATCCTCCTCCCAAACTCTCCCATTTTCTCCAAAACCATCGGAAAAGGGTCAACAATGCCGTCGTCCACATCTACTGGGGCCCTATTTTTTTGGGCCCTTTACCCCAATTCCCTGCTTGTTGTCCGATCCCAGAGGATTACAGATTGATTTTGATTCGTGGTTCGCTCATATCAAACAAGACTGGACCAAGACTAGAACACATGGTGATTCTAACGCTTGGAATTTCTGCATCTTCTACGTATCACCTGGACTAAAGTTGTTTGCTATACCACTGACACAGAGCCGCAATTCGCACTTACATAAGACCTGGAATGAGAAACCTCCTTCAGTTATAATCTTTCTCCCCCACTCGACTTTCCTCACCAATCTCCTCGAAGCTGGGTAGCAGCGGTCTGCAAAAGATGGATTTATCAAAGATCTCGGGCCTAGGGTTCGTGGGATTAGGGGCCATGGGACTTCCCATGGCCGGCCACCTTGCTGCTAAGCTGCCCGAGAACGTGCACATGTACGTCTACGACATCAATCAGTCGAGTGTGGACCAGCTGCACCACGACTACCCGGAGAGAGTGACCAAGTGTTCGAGCGCGAAAGAGGTGGCGGATAAATCAGTGAGTGATGGCGGTTGAGAAGGAGGCTCAAGCAAGAGCCGAGGAACAAAGATCTTGCTAACGTGTCACGCGGGGATTACCAGGATGTCATCATGACAATGCTACCCGAAGGGAAACACGTCCGCCTGGTATATATGGAGGGTAGCGGCGACACGACCATCTGTTCCAGCGACGTCTCGGGGAAGCTGCTGATCGACTGCTCGACAATCGACACGGCCAGCAGCCTGGCAGTCAAGGACTATGTCAACCAGAAATTCCCCACGACAGCCTTCTACGACGCCCCTGTGAGTGGCGGCGTGGTGGGCGCGCAAAAAGGCACCATCGCCTTCTTCCTGGGCTGTGACGGCGCGGACCCGAACTTGTCTCAACTCACCCGCCTGTTGAGCCTGATGGGCAAGGAAGTGATCCCATGCGGCGGCCCGTCCAAGGGCCTCGCGGCCAAGCTGTCCAACAACTACCTCTCGGGGATTATCGCCATCGCCGTCTCCGAGGCCATGGACATGGGGATGCGCTCGGGTTTGGATCCGCGGGTGCTGCACAAGGTCTACGGCGCGGGCACGGCGCAGAACACCATCTGCGACCGCTTCTGCCCCGTGCCGGGTGTGTACGCCGAGGCACCGTCGTCCAAGGGATACACCAATGGTTTCAAGGTGCAGTTGATGCGCAAGGACTTCTCGCTGGCTCTGGAGATGGCCAAGCGCGTCGGCGCCAACAACGTCCTGGGCGAGGCTGGCCTGGCCACCTACGACGGCGCCAGCAAGGATCCCCGGTGCATGGATCTGGACTCTCGGGTGGTGTTTCGGTACTTGGGCGGAAACGAGGATTGGCAAAAGGACGCCGACGAGGCTACGGCCAGCAAGCTGTCATGATTTGATGATACTATACCAATGTTATACTGGGTACATGGTCACGTATTACTTGGAACCTAGAAATAGAGAGTGTGTTCGGCAGGGAGAGATGGTAGAGCAAGAAGGATTGATATTCTCTGTCTCATTCTGGCTGTATGTAAACTCCCTCCAGCCTTGCCACTTTGCGGACATATCTACACATCGGTACCATCTAATCTTGTACTCGGTATACTGGTGACCATTCCGATCGTCTCTCGCTGCACTGCTACGATAATGGCTTGCTTACCTTGTGTCCAATCGCGTCGACCCCCAATCCTCTTCACCAACGTCCCTTTTCCCCCCTGACGTGTATGGCTCTCCCCTTTTCCACCATCTTGCGCCCTTGCAAGCCTCTCGCCCTCTTCCCGTCGCCACCACCATTTGTTCCCGTCCCCTTTCCCGCTATTCCACCCACCGTTCTCACACGAAAGGTGTTTGTGCGTTGCTCGGTATGGTTGGGGAATGGGTTTCCGAAAGAATTGGAGAAAAGGGATTTTGGAGAAAGAAAAAAAAAGTGCCGAGGCGGAGTGGATGACTCGCCCCGATTACGGAGCACGGCACGATAATTGGATTCGGGTGGCATGGTGGGGTAACCAAACAGACACAGAGAGTAGAGAGGGAGGGACGACGGACGCAAGACGAATGCGTGTCAATGGAATGAATTGTCTTCCTAGAGGGATGGAGGGGGAGGGGAAGAAGGAAAGGAAAAAGGTTTTGTCTTGTTTGGGCTTTTTTTTTATTCTTCCCTTTCTTTTTTTTGTTCTCTCTTGTAGTTTGCTAAAGAAAAGGTATATACATACTGTAGGTTACATTGTCAGCAAATTAGTCAGGAAGCCAATCGATCACTCAGTCAGTCACTCCGTCAGTCAGTCAGTCCACTTTATCTCCAACTCGAGAGAGGAGTAAATAAAAAGAGAGACACTGACAAACTCCGCGTTGACAATTCACAGAAGAAAAGAGAAGAGAAGCCAGAAAATACATTGAGCAGACAGTTATACTCGGGCACATCCCTCCTTCACCACCACAAGGCAAGCACCCCAGATCTATATCGACCACCCCTCCCAGTTCAATCCAAAACAAACATGTCTTCCTCAAACACCCAAAAACCCACATCCAGCGTGGACCCAGCCCTGCGCCCATTCCACGAAGACCTCTTCCAGGCCGGCCTCAATGTGCGCCGCGCCGTGGTGGGCGATGCGTACGTGGACCGCGCACTGGCCAACGGGTCGACCGAGTTCTCGCGGGTTGGTCAGGAGCTGGTGACCGAGTTCTGCTGGGGCTACGCGTGGACGCGGCCGGGTCTGTCACGCCGCGACCGCAGCCTGCTCAACATCGGCATGCTGATGGCGCTGAACCGCGCGCCCGAGCTAGCCGTGCACGTCCGCGGCGCCCGCAACAACGGCCTCAGCGAGGAGGAGATCCGCGAGGCCATCATCCACGCCACCACCTACTGCGGTGTTCCCGCCGGCGTTGACGCTTTCAAGACCGCCGAGAAGGTCCTCAACGACATGGCCGAGAAGGGTGAGATGCCTAGACAACTGGCCGCCAAGAGCAAGGATGCTTGAATATGTTAGGAGGCATACCATGCCCGCATTGTCACGGTTCAAATGACGAGATGACGGGAAGAAAAGGAAAAGAATAGATGAGAAAGGGAACATTGGTGGATGGTGGACGGAAGAGGCAGAAAGAACCTGTGAAGACTGAACGGGCTGCTTCCCTGGTGGAGTGATTGGTTTGGAGGTCAGTACCTTCACGTATATACCTCGTATATAGCCCCTGAACTGTCCATCTTTTCACTACTCTTGTGTTGATCAGACTCCCGCTCCACCTCAAGCCGCACCACGATGGCCCATTGTAACTCATCGGCCAATGCGATACCAGTCTCGCCAGTCAATTACTCCGTTTGACCTTGGCCATCTTCCCATTGCTGAGCTCATCCTCCACAGTTGTCCAGAAGAGCTGTCTCATCCTCATGGTTATCGTGGGAGCACCTACCTGCTCGTTTGGAGGCCATGCAGCTGTCCCGCCCTTCAACCTGTATGCATCCTCTTCACTCCCAGACATGATCATTCCTTGGGTACGCAGACCGTTCTCGACCATGTGTTTGGGACCTACTCCCCCAGGTCCAGGGTGCTCGAAAGGTCTCTTGCCCTTGGGCAATCAATGCACTGGCGGGAAAGGTCTGGTTCACGCCTTTGAGGGCTCTGAGGGCGGCATATCAGAGTGCTGCAAAGCTGGAGGCTTGCATTAGTAAGTCCCTACCACACGAGTTGCAACACTTTTGTTAAGGCTCCCAGAGAGGCCACCGGTAGATATAAAGATATAGATTGCTAGCCAACTGATGGATGGCAGCTACAGGAGGTGTAACACAGAAGTTATCTACAGTGTTGGGGGAGTCCTCGGTAAGACAGCTCCCAGCGTGAGATAGGTAGGCCGTGCGCTCTTGGCACATCCAGGGTCACGTGAGGGATCCCAGGGAAGGCAGTGCAGGCCGTGACAGACAGGCTGAGACGCGGGCGGCTGCATCTGAAACACATGCGGCATGCCAAGCCTGAATAAAGGGGTCGCGCAGGGGGGATTCCTTGGATACCTTGACACTATGTTCTCTAGCCTCAAAAGAGAGTATTTACGCAGTTCAACTCACGCCAATATGCCCCTCCTATCCAGCTAACCTCCTCCGTCATGTCGTCTCCAGTCTTCACCGACACGAATCTAGACTACGATGATGAATCATGGGACCAAAGTGTGCAGATTTACGATACATGGAAGAGCAAGCTTCTCAAAAGGGACAACCTCCTCAAGATTGGGAAACTAATAGACAAATACAGAGGTGGCGTTCCCGACACGCTGTCAAGTCCCCAGAAAGGAGCCTTCAATGCCTGGATTCGCTTGAAGTTTGTCGATGGCGGCTCAGCAGTCATGCGAATTCCACTACCCGGGAAGACAATGTTTCCGGCAGAGAAGACCCAACGTGAGGTGGATGTGATGCGATATCTGTCGGACAAGACCAGCCTGCCGGTTCCCCTTGTACTGCATTTGGGCACAGCTGAGGAGAGTCCAAATGGGCTGGGTCCCTTTATCATCATGGAGTTTATCGAACACGAATGTGACCTCGTTGATGCGCTCAATACACCGGATATCCCATACGAGGAACGGCCAATTCTGGATCCGTACATATCCAGCGAACGACTCCATTTTGTATACAGGCAAATGGCCGATGTCATGCTCCAGTATTCCAAACACACCTTTATGAAGATCGGAAGCATCTCATCTTCCGACGAAGGTGATTCATGGGTTGTCAGCCACCGCCCTCTGACATTGAACATGAACGAGCTAGTCCAACTAGGCAACGTCTCCCCGGATGCTCTCCCCCAAGGCCCATTCGAAACGTCGACATCTTACTACACAGCACTTGCCTCCATGCATATAGCACATCTCAAAGCTCAACGTGTTAGTGGGATGCAAGCCACGGAATTCCGGCGAAAATACATTGCGAGATGTCTCTTCCATAGACTGGCGAGGGAGGGCCGATTTTCCAAATACGGCGACCGAGGGCCATTTCCTCTGGTCAACGATGATTTCAGGCCTGCAAACGTCCTGTCGAACGCCGAATTTCAGGTCACAGGAGTAGTGGACTGGGAATTCACCTACGCGGGGCCTCGCGAATTCGCTTACAGTGCACCAGTCTGGCTTCTTCTTGAGCTGCCCGAGTACTGGCCGGATGGACTGGACGATTGGACGCACGTCTACGAGCAACGCCTTCCCATCTTCCTAACGGCAGTGCGTGAGAGCGAAACCGCGGCCATCAAGGGGGGGACATTGCGGGAAGAACAATGCCTCTCGCAATTCATGGACGACAGCTGGAAGACGGGTGATTTTTGGGTCACTTATGCGGCAAGGCGATGCTGGGCGTTCGACATGGTTTATTGGGTCAAGATTGATAAAAGGTTTTTTGGAGTTGGGACCGTCGATGATCGTCTGGAACTTTTGACTATGGAGGAGAAAACAGAATTGGACCAGCTGCTGAACAGGATGTTCAAAGCAAGTACTTCAGGAGATGGCGATGGATTTTGTCAAAGTGGATGACTGGTGTCTTGGATCACTTCGTCATTTCTTGACGTCTGCAGGCTTGATCGACTTCCTCGGCGCATGGTTTTACCCTTCTACTGAAGAGCACGCGCCTCTGCGACAGCGGGAAAATACTGATCAGGATGTGTACAACCCGAGCCGGTATCTCTAAGCCTCCAATGATGGTATAGCTAGCTGCGTTAGCTCATGGGATGGTATCACAAGGAAACCCTGTGGCTTTGCCTGAGCCAGGACCAGTCAACAACACGACCTTTGCCAGGTTCGAGCGGCTCAAGGGAGACCCCTTGACATTACGAAAAGAAATTGCTGGTGTATCACAGGCATCAATGCAGCACAATCGGCGAATGAGACGTCAGAACCCGTCAAACCACTTTCAATCTTCTGGACCGCATTCTCTTGACGTCGGTTTCAAACCATTTTGTTCTTCCACCACTCTATATCGACATCGACAACGGACAACGTTTTGAGCTTCAATCAATACCGCTGCAGCTTGGTCCATTCCATCCGCGGCCAACTGATCAACTGCAAAACCTCCCCAAGAGAGTAGGTGGGACAAGTGTGGGAGGACAAGTAACAGGTCCAGTCTTGCTGACAGAAAGACAAACAGGACACCTCCTTTGTCCACTGAACCATGTCTCGCGAAGAGACCAACTTTAACATGGATATCTCAAAAGAGCATGCCAAAAGTCTTCAGAGCCAGGGCAAAAGCTCTCAAAGAGCTCGAGGTCAACATGCTGGCAGTGGGAGTCTTGACGAGATTCGACTTCCGGGCAAAGAGGAAGAGCAACTGATGATTGTCTTGTCTCTCTAGCTCTCATGAGGGACCATTACAATCACACTGGATGGCTTCCCACTGTCCTCGTCAAAGCATGCTACAACATGGCAGTAGGGAGAAATAGATTTCATCCCTTGGTCGATAGATGATCATACTATTCTAGCCTATGTGCCTATCTATGTACGTACATACTTGTCGTATCTCCATACCCTATTTTCCGAGCCCGACTAACAAGGTGTTAAGGAAAGAAGCGTGCCACTTGTGCCTACCCTAGTTCCTGATCGCAGGAGCCCCCTCCTCTACCTCTTATGATATCAGCTTCTGGGGACCGTAGCCTCTCTTACTCTTTCACGTTTTCGCTGTCGCGGAAGAAAGCTGTGTGTTGGGAGGAAAAAGGCTTAGTTTGGGGAGATAAGTCCGTCGCCATTCAATTGCGTGTCAAGAAGATCGGAAAGAACAGAGAGACGTCTGTGATCTCGATCTATTACAGCACACCTACCCAATCGGGGCAGATTAGAATCAAGAAAGGGACATGATGTTTCTCGCCTCTGTTCTTCAATGCCATGCCCGACGAGGCTCAATACCACTTCCAGCCCCATGTGGGATCCGGAGTCTTGTCAGACCAAGTGGAACAGGAAAAGAAGACGAAGAGAAGGTCACTGCTTGGGTTGTTTCAATATTGTTTTTAAATCTTCATTCTCATTCCTCTTTAGAAACTATTGCTTTTGTGGTAAATTTTTTGTTGCCTTGAAAACACAAATATCTCGGGACCACGAACTCGGAACTCGCCTTCGCTAAATATGCTCATGCTGCTGGAAGATCGCGCCAAAAGAGATGCAAACCGCAGAGACACACCATGTATATATATATCACAATTTCGCCTTCCTTGCCCAAAAAAAACAGAACTCATACATGGACTCCGATGGTTGGTTTTTGGATTCATCCTGCTTGTTGTTCCATCTGTAGCTTTTCTTTACTCCTCTACCCTAGCGGACTGGGGCGGGATAGAGTGTATAATTATTCCCTGTGAGACGAATGAGGTGTGCTGCCTAAACCGCTTCAGCGGCCATTATGTCTCGGGTCTTGGTCTCCTGGACAGGCGGTGCGCCTCGATCCGTTATCCCCTCGCTGTTGCTCTCGACTTGGGCCTTTGCGCGCTCAAAGTCGACCGACGTCGCTGCCGTGGTGGCTTTGGCACGCAGGGCACTTCGGATCTCGGCCACGGACCGGTCGTTCCACAGCTCGTAGTCGCTCATGCTCAGCGGGAAGAGCACCTTGTTGTTCGCGGCGGCGATGAAGCTCTCGGTATTCGGCGCCGGCATGCTCGTCAGCACGTCAATGTCGGACGCCAGTTCGCGGCAGTAGTCGTCGAGCGGCAGGTCGTTGACGTCGACGCCAAAGGGGTTCTCAATCTCGTACCCGATCGCCGCCAAGCCCAGGATGATGTACGCGGCCAGCACCACCCCGAATATCGTCACCCACCCGAGCTTGCTGTAGATCTGGAATGGTAGCGTCAGGATGTACACCCACGTGATCTGCGAGATGGAGATCGAGTACGCGATCGGCACCGGCGTGTTCAGCACCCGTTCCGTGCCCGTCAGGATGTCGGCGAGCTGCGCGATGCTGTTCATCACCGTCGTCTGGTGGATCGGCAGCGTCAGTTGCCCGTTGCTGCACACCTCGTCCAGGTACGCTCCCAGGTAGTTGAGGATCTCGAGCGGCAGGTTGCCCAGGTTGTCCCGCGACCGCTTGATCAGCTTGCGCGGGTTCGACTCGGCGAACGACACTCCCAGGTACTGCCCGGCGGCTTTCCACGAGCTGGCTCGCTTGGGTTGCAGCTGGCTCTGGTCTGCCTCACTGGCCAGGGTGTGCAGGTTCCCAATCAGCGGTTGCAAATCCGGGTAGTCGGTCGAGGGCTCAAACCGGAGTCGGTGCTTCAGGGCCACGGCGAAAGCGTTGATGAGGTTCAGCGCGGTCAACTTGGCCAGTAGCTCCGACTTGCCCTGTTCCTCGCTCACGGAATGTCGTTCCTTGGTGTGAATCCAGATGATCCTCGCCAGATTCCTCGATGTTACAATCAACTGTGCCCAGTATTTCCGCCCCTCGCTGTATCTTTCATAGGCCGTCGTCGACCGGAACGACAACGCCAAACTGACCACGAAACCGGTGATGGTGAGGAGGACCGAGTCAAATACCAGCTCGTACACAAACTTGTTGATGCAGGTGAACAACGTCGCCCAGCCGGCCACGAACGCGAGCGGCAGGATCATCTTGGGCAGCACACTACCGTGCAGACGCGCAAACCAGGGCCATTTGGAGTGATGGTTCATGTCCCGGGGTCCGACAAAGAGGTCTTCAATATCGAGTGAGGTGTGTGTGGGAGCTCGGAGTGCCAGTGGTTTGAAGTTGGTTACTCGACCGGGGGAGGCCATTGTTTTAGGGTCGTACGAGGACGTTGAAGATCCGAAGTCGTTGACCTCGAGTTTGAGGTTCTTGGGTGTCCCCGGTTTAGTCATGTCGAACAGGTGAGCTGAAGACACTGTATAGTAGAATTATAACCTCCGCAGGTACAAGTTCGACAGAACTTGTGTTTTGTAAGGTGGCAAAGAGATATTAACGAGAGCGGTGATCAACACCCATAGAAAGGACAAACACACAGGGCAGAAAAGCAACCACGATGGCAGAACAACAGCTTTTGACGGATCGGCTGGGGGAGAAGAACGAGACTTTTGACTAGGGACTGAGGTGCAAGAAGAGAAAAAGAACAACGGTCAAGGCTGCGACACGAGGAACATAACCCTGGTGAGGCACTTTAGTCCATGTCTTATGTAACTTTGGCATCCCCTTCCTGGTGCTTACTCCGTAGGTACCAGTGCGGATGAGAAACGAAGTGCTGCATCCACCTCGCATAGCATGGTCGACTTCCCCGAGAAGACTATAGCACCATGGGATACCCACTGGGGGCCGACTAGGTAGCGCCATTGAGGGGTGTGCTGGGGTCGAGAACAGAGGAAATTTGTCGAACACGAATAGCCAAGATGTCGAAAAGAGTCTGGAAACTGGAGCTGAAATGGAGCTGAAACATGACCATAGCCAATTGTCCCGGAATGCAGAACGCTCATTGCCTGGAACATTATTCGGTCTTGGACGTTGGAACACACGCCGTTGAGCAGAACTGGTCAACGGCCTGCATGATTCCACCGGGGCAATTGCAACGCAGCGTGCCTTGAAACAAGGAGTACATTAAAAGAAAGGACCAAAGAGGCAAGGGACAAGACTTGGTATTGAGTGCCTCGTATTGGTAGTTGGTTCAACGGTTAGGGGGCAAAACTCAAGCTTCTGGGTGGGCGGCGGTTCCCCTTGTGTCGAAGAAAAGACGGAAAGGTGCTTTGCCTCGTCCTGGTACAGTGGTACTTGGCTTTGCCAATGGGCTTCTGTGTTGTGTGATCGAGAAAAGGGAGGGAATTGACCACGCGGCCAGGCCAACCAGCCAGGTTCCACTCAGCTGTTGGTCTCCATGGCGGAATCGGGATGCCGGTACCAGCCGAGGGTCTGGAGGGACTCGCAATTAGAAACGAAAAAGGGCATTCGCTTGCAAGTCCGCTGTCAGTCAGTTCGTGACAGGAGCCCAATGCTGGTGGTTATGCAGTTGAGCGGCCTGACTTCGTTCGATATGTACCTCGTTGTCTGCATTCTGCTGAGCTGGTCAACATCAGCTGCTGCAAGCCTGACATCAGACATTGTAAGAGAAGGATTGCCAGTACGAATAGGACATGTGTGCAATGTGCCACCGGGACAGTGGCCAGCAGTGTTCCTTGTATAGAGAGAAAATCTTCTCGATAAATGGTGGAAAGACGTCTGGGGTGCGGATTTGTTATAGCATCCAGATTCTTCCATCTCTTGAGTACAGCTTCTCAGTTACGGGTTCGGCGTTCACAAAAGATCGACGCAGATCATCTCCTCTGTTGTGCAAATGGGGAATTTCGGAGGGATTTGGGGGATCTGGGCCTGTTTCCGGCACTCTTCCGGCCCCCTTGGGATCGTGAAAGAGCTGATGAAAAAGGGGGCGTAGCTGATTCCAGCTGCAGAATATGAAGCGGGTGGGAGGAAGTGACACTTCGGTGGCTTGTTGCGCAACGCATCTTTTCATTCGCAGGAGGCAAAGGAACAAAGGAGGAGGAGGAGGAGTAGGATGGACCGTTGAACTTGCCCTTTTCGTCCTTTGTCTATACAACTAAAACCCTCAACTACAAAAGCATCCTTGACAACCTCACCGGCGCTCGTCTCATCTCATCACTCGTTACTCGTCGCTTTAGGCCACCCTCGTTTTATGTATGATGCAAACATCGCTATTGTCACTCGCTCGAAGGTGACAC